GTGGCACGGATTCGAATACACTCACTGACTCTACTTACCGCCATCTGGCTGAACGTACCTTCCGGACAGTCAAAATTCCAAAAGACTCTATTTTTTCTACCCAAAGGAGGCAAAACGTAAAAACAAACAAATAGATAAATAAATACAAATTTAAAATTCCGTGTGACTCTGGGATATATTGGTGGAACACGTGGCGAATGCCCCTGAAGCGATGACATCAACGAGGTAACAAAGTTGAAATGAGTCTTGAGTGACGAAGACGCTCTACCACCTCCCCTCGAAAGACCACCCACGGTCATTATCACCGCATCTAGACTGGAAATTGCCCAAAACACAGCTATAATTACTGTGCGGCCTCTTCGGGGAAGACGATCGATCTACAATGAACGTGAACGTGCGTTCATGCATGTAGACGTGCATGACGCGATCATGGACGTCCACGTCAGCGAGCTCGCAATCATATGCAACACGTGACCGTCATGCGCCATGGACATGCACACTGACGTGGATGTGCATGCATGCAGACCCCATGGAAATGCATAAAGACGTCCATGCAGACGCGATTATGGACGTCCACTTCAGGGAGCTCGCAATCTTGTGCAACACGTGATCGTCATGGACCATGCACGTGCACATTGACGTGGATGTGTTTACGGTGGTGAGTACATGTACTCGTGATGACGACAACAAATAATGAGCGATGACGTGAATGTGCTTGCAGCCGTGGATTCCATCTCCGAATGGACGTGCTACAGTCTTCCCCGCAATAGAATGCACGATCATTATCGCCGCTGTATCTGGACGGAAGCTTGCCCCAAAATACAGCCTATAATGACGGCGAAGGTAGCTGACTGACGCGTACATGCGCTCCAGGCTGATGACGTGCACAATCAAACAATCTCGGCTAACGTCGATTTCTTTTTCTGTTCTTTTTTTTTTTTTTTTTGGACCATTTCTCAATTTATGCGTGTCATCCTTAATTTGCTCACGGGGTCACGCTAATTACCCTTCTCTGTATCATTCCCATTTTAACGGATGCCCCAGAGAACGACGTGGATTTTTTTGGCCCAGATGAGCACACGTCCTCGTGACGAGGAGCGGATTCCCCCAGATCGCAACCCCCCCCCGCCGACCGTGAATGTTTACAGCTACTTTCACGGTCGGATACATTTATGGCGAGCGTGCCCTGTGCTCAGGGGAAAGACGGTAGCTGCTCACATGCATGCGCTTGCTGACGTCAATGTATACAAGCTATTTTTCCGACCCGATACCGATACACACGATGCCTGTGCGCTGTACTCGTGACGACGGTGACACGTATGCACCTGCTCACATGTATGAGCTTGCTGACGTCAATGTATACAAGCTATCTTTCCGACCCGATACACTCATTATGACTGTGCCCTGCACTCGTGATGACGGTGACACGTCTGCACGATGATGACAAGCATGCGCGCGATGACATGCATTCCTTTCTACGCGGGTCTTGTGCTACCGGTCGCTGGCTGAGGTACAATGCGTGCTGAGCGGATCTTGTGCTACCCGGTCGCTGGCTGAGGTAAAATGTGTGCGCTTCTCTTCTATATAAACGTGTTCACCAGAACATGTTACAAACAAAAAAAAAAAAAAAAAGAACGAGTTTGGCAAATGCCTCGCGGTGATCACTAACGGGCCTAGCTCAGTTAATAATGTTTAAAAAAAAAAAAAAAAAAAAAAAGTTAAAACTGTTCAAATACAGACCGGAGTTCGGCCTTTTGGCCAAGTAAGATCGAGTTCACTGTTTCTCTACTGATCACTATCATACCTGATCCGTGGTCCTTCGGACCCCACGATTAAAAAAAAAAAGAAAAAAAAAANTTTAAAAAAAAAAAAAAAAAAAAAAAGTTAAAACTGTTCAAATACAGACCGGAGTTCGGCCTTTTGGCCAAGTAAGATCAAGTGCACTGTATCTGTTCTGATCACTTTCATATCTGATCCGTGGTCCATCGGACCCCACGATTAAAAAAAAAAAGAAAAAAAAAATCCGGCTGGAAAAAAAAGATGAACGAGAACTCTTCAACAACAATCAAAAAAAAAAAAAGGGGGCAACTTACTAACTAGGGCGCAGTCACGCTTTCAGTGTTAAATCCAGATCAGGCATCCCTCGAATACAACACATCCCCACCCGACCCTAAAGCTGGGTTGTATACATTCATGATTTTCGTCGGGTTGACACAACATTCGCGAAATCGTGACGGACACGCTTTGTCAAACTGAAACCGTGACAGCAAAAAAAATAAAAAATTAAAATAAAATAAACCGTGACAGCGCCCTACAGTAGTTTTGCCAAAAAAAAAAACTTGCGGGGAGCGGTGTATCGCCCTGCCGGAATATAGACGGTCACTACCACACGTCCAGGAAGACGAGAATGCACCTGGCTTGCTCCACGTCCAGGTCAGTCTCAGAAGGGCTTTCTGGCAATTGCAGCACACCGCAGAGACCCAGTTCCGCAATCTTCCCTCCCCTTCTTTTTGCTGGCTGCATGGTTCTTATATAGCAAATCTGCTTCTTCTTTGCATCGTTCAATGTTTTTTCCTTTATACTTTTTTTTTTCTCTCTATCATATTGACAGTGAGTAGAGTGACTAGTGAAAATTTTCGATATGCCCCTCCGACTTCCACTTATTTGCGGTATGCCCCTCTGATGGCCGACTTACCCTGTCGGGCCCCTCCGTTAAAAATTGGAACGATACAGAGAAAGAAGATTAGCATGGCCCCTGAGCGAGAATGACACGCATAACTGGAGAGATGGTCCAAGTTTTTTAAATAATAATTAATTAAAAAACGGTTGCCCCCGGGGCCAAGTCCCACTAGCAGCGTTGAGCTACCTCAACGCCTGAATCTGGACGCTTTTGCGGAGATGTGCAGAAATGGTGTTGAGTTTCCTGAACTGCACGTCTCCACAAACACGACCAGATTCAGGCGTTGATGTAGCTCAACGCTGCAAGTGGGACTTGGCCCCCGGTTTGTTT